TACTTTAAAGTGTATAAATAAGTTACCCGGGCAATTGATCTACATCAGCCAATCAAACGAATGTCTGCCCATGACCCCCTAAATAGTTTCTCAGAATATTTACGCAAGGTCTGCAACATTAATGAAAAAAGCCGGATACACAACTCATTTAAAATAGAAATAGGAATCTTAAAAAAATTATTTTCGAAAGAGCATCCTGTACAAGTACGACTTTTAGAGTTAGAGAATCAACTGAAGGTAACCTGTATTTAATATCAACATTTAAAATGAAGCAGTCTGAGAAATCAATTATCTACGCAGGCTGTGTGCCTGTTAGACGTGATGTATTCATGTATTTCAGATTTGAGGTCAAGAAGACTATTTCTGGAGGATTTTTGATTTGGTTGCGTTTTTAGGGGAGACGTGTATTCTTGCGCAAGATGTATTCTTGTTAGACGTAGTGCTTCTACGTATTTCTAAAACCAACCTTCCAGGCTGTTTCATTTTTGGATATACTTTTTGAAAATATATTCTTTCTAATTATATTACTAAGTCTCAGCAGAACGAACAAAAAGTAGAGAGGATTAATCGCCAGATACTTACCAAAAAATCAACCAGACGCGAATTGCTAAAAGAAAAAATTGAAATCGCAAAGGTTTGATTTATTTATATATATATATATTTTTTTTTTAATTTTGACGTATTTGCGATTATGTGTTCAACTAGTCTACATAAATATTTAGGATTCTGTAATTTTTAATGGCTATAACCGAATAAATGAACATTATGATGATTTTCATAACGCAAGTTCATTATTGGTCAAGCGAAATTTGATAACTGATGATGACTCTCTTGAATCCAATCGTAAAAAGACAAAGAAAAATTTCCAGGATTCTGACCAATACGACTTTGATCATGGAAAAGTAGATGTAGATGGTTTAAATAGGTGTCGACAATAGAGATGGGCTAAATTTATTATATACGATTATTTAATATTAATGAATACTATTTAAATTTTTGGTAAGTAAGTAATATTAACTCAGAATTTAAAGCTCTCGATATATATATGCAATTGCTATGACATCATTTTATCAAAAAAATTACAAAAAAAAATAATAATCGCACCAAAAAAATTTAAAAAAAAAATTACTTGCAAAAGAAAAATTATTTACAAAAAGAAAATTTGTTCAAACAATAAACTATAGCACAAATAATAACTATAATTAAAAAGAACATTTAACTAAAAAAATCGCTCAAAAAACAATCGTTCCAAAAAAAAATCGAAACATTTGCAAAAAAAACAATCGTTCCAAAAAAAAATCAAAACATTTGCAAAAAAATCAAAAAACAAAGGAAATTTTTCTAGAAGAAACAAATCCTCCAATGAAGTACTATATTCAACCTGATTGAAAATCCAAGTATTGTATTCTTCTATAATTCGACTATATGAAATCTGATCATACATATTAAATTCGTCAAAATTTTTAAGTGTTGTAATTAGAGTTTCTTCTGAATTTTCCAATTGCTGCTCTAAATGTTGAAGAGTATCAAATTCATCTTCAGTAATAAAATCTGTTTCCAAATTATAATTCGTATCTAAATTACCATTATTATTTGCTTGATTTATTTGTTGAAATTGATCGTTATTTTTTTTAATATAATTTGAATCATTTTTGTTTTGAGAAATATGTAATCAGATACATGAAAGTTTTGTTGCTCACTCATTTGTTAATCTATTGCGTTTTAAAGTATGAACACCTGCCATTAATGACCAAAATCGTTCACTATCTGCAGATGTAGGTGGTATTAACATAAGCCATGCTGCAAATATTGCTAATTCTGGAACTTCATTGTTAAAATTGTTCCAAAAATAAACTGGATCCTTGATTAAATAATCGTCCCAATTTCCTTCAAAATTAAATGGATAAGATTTGTTGTTCCAATCAATAAGTTGCTTTCAAAATTTTAAAATATCTTTATCCAGAAATAATTGACTAAATAAAATACAAGTTTCTTTTTTAACAAAAGTTAAAAATTCTGGATGAATAACTTTTGCTAAAAAATATTTTGGATGTAAAAACCAACTAATTAAAAATATTGGATTATAAATCTTTTGCCAACAATGTTTAATTCGAGCTGTAATATAATTTTGAAAGTGATCATAAATTGTATAAGTAATTTTTTGCATTCGACATCATAAATAAACTGCATCTGCAATTGTTGCATATTGAGATTCTAAAATAATAGGTACAAGAGAATATAATTCCAAAATTTGAATAATTATTGCTAATCGACTTCAAACTGTATCATTTTTTAAGATAGACATAATTTTTTTTTTTTTTTCACTTAGGCAAGATTGCGCTAGTGATCGATGTTTAATAAAGCTTCAATCTTGTGGATGATTACAAATATATTGCTATAACATTAAACCTATGATCCTAACATCCCATAGCTGCTCTAACGAGTGTTCATCAGTGACCTGCCATACCGGCAAGGTAAAACCTAAGTAATACCCTAACCGGAGAGCTCGTCCGATCCACTGCCCTACAATAGGATACCACCAATCTGATGACATCTTCTCATAGAGAAGTGAAAAGAAAAAGAAAACTATATATAAAAAAAACACAGAGATAGGAAATATGATAAAAGATACAAACAAGAAGAGAAAGGGGTAAGGGAAAAAATGAAAAAAAAAAAATATGAGATTTTTCACCCACACTGGATGGTCACAATTATAAGCCTGTGTCGAGCTTTGTAAAAATTACATACTACTATTTAAACTAGTCTTTACTCTAATTTAACTAATTAGTATATTTAAACGAAAACTTTAAAGAAAAAAAAAAGCTCTTCAACATCAGCACCATACTCTAGCACTATAAGCTCTCAAGCTTCTTTTGCTTAAACTCCTGTAGAAGCATAAACAAAAGCACGCTTCAGGCACTATAGAGAAGTTAGAAATTCGCACAGTTGGTCTCGAAGCATTGTTTGTCCAGGTTGCTACTTCTGAGGTATGTAATCCATATATCCACATTCCATAAGTATCTATGTGTTTGTTGTGATAGGAAAAAAAAGTAAACAATGCCAACCGATTTGGTAAGTAAACGATATATCGATCTTTTGAAGGGAGTAAGCTAAATCGCCCACTTTTTTACAAAATTTTCCTCGAAAAAAAAGTGAAGGGTCAATGAGAATATGTGAGGTTCTTCTTATAAGTTTTACAGTTGTATAGTCTAGTTTCTTAGTATCTACTCAATATTCCTGCCCAGAGACTCTTGCTCTACTTGTTTCTAGAATAAACCTTCTAGTTTGAATGCCGAACATGCTAGGAAGTTTGTTGAAGAAAGGAAAACTTGACCCAGACACAAACCTACCTAATATTTTTATATGCCCACTTCTTGATATTTCACATATTGTAGACTTTGTCAACAACAAGTTTGCTTAACACAAAACCAGAAAAATTGCTGTGTCCACTATGTTGCTTTTCTATATCGCTGACTATAGTTCGATAGATTGTTGTTGACCAAGTGATCGTTGGAAAGAGTTGATTATCTTGAGATAGACATAATTTCATTATTATTTAAAATTTTTTTTCATATGTCATTTCTTTTAAAAATTGTGATTTGTCTTGAATTTGTTTTAAAGATATAAAAAATGAATTCCATCATATAAATGTTGGAAGAGAAAACTAAAAAGTATTATTTAGAGTTGTTAATGGAGTGGAGTGGAGTAGGTTGGATTAAAATTAAATGGAGTAAGCCTTACTCCAACCCAACCCAGGTTATGCTTTAAATTAATACTCCAGGTTGTACTCCAAGTTGTACTCCAGGTTGTACTCCAGGTTATATACTCCAGATTGTACTCCAGGTTGTACTTCAGGTTATATACTCCAAGTTGTATTCCAGGTTGTACTCCAGGTTGTACTCTAGTTGTACTCCAGGTTGTACTCCAGGTTGCATTCCAGGTTGCACTCCAGGTTGCACTCCAGGTTGTACTCTGGGTTGTACTCCAGGTTGTACTCTGGGTTGTACTCCAGGTTGTACTCCGGGTTGCACTTCAGGTTGTACTCCAGGTTGCACTCTAGATTGTATTTCAGGTGTTCTGAATTCAATTTGATAAATCAATATATATATAAAAATCAGATTCAACTGACTACTTCAAAAAAAAACTTGATAAGCATTTAATTTTGACATGTTCAATATATAAAAGTATAGTAATTTCATAATATTACTTTATTTCTTTTTTATAGATAAATAAGAAAAGAACAGCTTTATGATCTTGATGAGTACAATATTATATAAGATTTTTTTTATTTATGAAGTGACTTCTGTGCTTATTCACAGTTTAGTATAGCATGAAGATTGATTTGCCTTTTATCGGTTCTCCTCTAGTAAAAGCAGAAGACTATTTTTTGTCTTGCTTGAAATTTCTCCAAGGATTACTCCAAAGCTATAGACATCAGATTTCTTATCACATTTATATTTGCAATTAACAGCACTGAATTCAATATATGTCAGCTTTCTATGAACAATTGAGGTTTACGTCATAGACATTTTATTTATTTGCTTAGATAGTCCAAAACCTGAAATTTTTGGTCGTCTCTGATGAATTAAGATATTTTTTGAATGCTATAAAATATGTTGCAATATTAGTTATTGTAATTAAAACTCTCAGTAATAAACTTACAAGATCTCTGTGTATAATATTGTTATCATGTAAGAACAAAAGACCACAAATTACCTGCCAATTGGTAGTTCATCTTCTTATTGCAATTTTGTGAAAATCAGTTTTAAATATTCTTATAATTTCCATTATTAGTATATATATTTCAGTATTATAAAACCATATTATAATATTTATTATTACCTATTTATTTGTAATTAATACAACTGTAAAAATTAAAATATTTCTTATTTTACTGTACATTTAAAATGTTAAACTATATGTAATCTCATAGAATTTAATAATATTTGGATAGTAATCAACACTTCTTAATAGTTTAAGCTTTGATTTCGGATTATTATTAAAAAATATATTATACCAGAAAGAATTCAAAATTTAATATAATAAATATGTACTTTATTATTAAAATCTTTTAAAAACCTTTCCAAAACTTCTAGTGCCAATTACTAAATGGTCTAAATTAATTCAAGATTATTAATATGTTCCTCAAAAATAGCTTTTTTAAGAAATACTTTTAGTAAATATATCATGACCTTTTATTTTCTAAAAATATGTATATAATATAATACTTCATACTTACCAATATGTGATACAGCATTCAAGCTAAGGCTACCAAAATTATTGGTGTATACTTGTTGCCATGTTTATTAAGTTGTTTGAGTTCAGTTGTTACTAATCTGAATTAGAGATAGAATCATTTTGTTTGTATAAACTGATAATAACGAATTTTACTGTACAAATTATCAGGTTACCTGTTGTGTATCAGCTAATGCTTTTCCTTCTTTTGATCCAAGATTATTCTTGTAAAGATCCAATAAGTCAAGTATAATGTTCTTGAAAAGTGCCTGATTCAGGAATTATTCAAACCAAAATACAAAGAAGTCTGTATAATATTCTATGCATCTGCTAATGCTTTATCACCTTCTAATTCGATTCAGTTAGAATGAAGATTTAAAAAAGTCAATATAGGTTCTTGCAAGTGCACCTGCAAGTACTTTTCCCCATTTCTTTGTATATCTCAAGTACTAGCAGTCTTAATAATACAACCCACAATTATGAAAGTTATATGACTCTAATCTTTTCATAATATAGATGCTGTAATACATTATACATATTAAAATAGATATGATCCAACTTATATATTTAATATACAATGGGGTTTAGCATTATGATTATGCGTATGAATAGGTAAGTAGAAGAGATAGAAGTGCTTAGCCAGGTTGAGGGCTATTTAAGAATCTTAGTTCAGATGAAAGTTGGTTATTCTTCTGTTTGCTATCACTTGTCTTGGTGAAAGCTGGCTCCCTACCCACCCTTTATTAAGTGGCTCAGTGGCTTGGAATAGCGCAATGACTACTATAAGCTTAATAATACTGCAGTTCATAGATGTTTAGCTCTGAGACTGCATTAGCAGTACAAGGACTAGGCTTAACTAAATGTACCTTATTATTACACAATTTCAATCTTCTGTATATCACTATTTGATTGTTAAATCCTTCTAGAGGTTATATTTGAATAGTTAATATCGACATTATATTATATAGCATGAAAACTATTGTTACATTGATTACTAAAAGAAATCATGCTTTCAATTTTGTCCAGTAACCTTCTAGTTCATATTGAAACATTTCAGTAAGCAAAACTGCCATTAACAACTCTAACAATATCTAACATAGCTATAATTAGTATATCGAAGAGCCTAATTACATGAATGCATTACTATACCAAATGTTAAGAGTTATGTCAAATGTTAAGAATTATATTGAATGTCAAATATCACATCAAACATCAAGAGTTATACTACATTTTATATGTCTAACCATCATCCAATCATAATTTAGAATTTGCATACTTGTCATTCTAGTTGTCTGTTAACCAGACATATTATAATTTACATTACTACATTCCTAGAATTAAAACCTCTTGGAATATGCAATGTCTACGACTCTTGCATATTCGAAACTTTAGATTTTAAAAATCTATTGGCATATATATTTATAAAATAATATATATTGGTAAATGATAATATTTAAAATATATAATATCGAAAATCTAAAATTTAACTAAATTTTTTTTTTAAAAAAAAACATTATTCATAAGTTAAAAAAATTCTTGCAAAATTTTAGTATAAACCCATAATTTGAGAAATGTGACCATTTGTATATAAAATATTTGTAAAACAAAGAATTTATATCAAAAAAAAATCTAATGTATATTTAACGAAAATTATAATTCTAAAAGAAAAAAATTTTCTATATTAATTTCTTTTTCTTTTTTATCATGTACTTGCTAAATTCAGCTTTTAAGGCACATAGCTGCATGTGCAGTATCTGGTTTTAAATTATATTGAATTTTGGTTATAGTGTTTGCAGCTATAGAGAATACCTGTTCTGAAGATACACTTGAATCTTGTATACTTAAATAACATAATGTCATACTTGCAAGAATCGGAAAATCTTTACTAAAATGACACCACCAATCTAATGGGTTTGTAGTAGAATCAACTGATAAAGCAAGATATTGTGCAATTTTATCTTCACTTGATACATTTTCAGAATTTTGGTCTGAAATTAATAATTTAAAAAATGATCGTTTGCTTCCTCCTGTTTGTAAAATTGAGTTGATAGTATATTAGTATTATTTTTATATAATTCTATCTAATTACGCAATAGTGCTACAGCCTTATTACGCTGACTAATATCCTTAAAAGTTCTAGTTTTTGATTATAGATCTAATAAAGTACTAATTGTCATTGATTCATTAATATGTTCCCAATATTCTTGTAGTTTAAAATTAATCAACTCTGCTATCATACATTCATCTAAATTATGATAATTTTAAATAAATAAGTCTAAATATTATAACAAACTGGTTATAGTTAATCTTACATCACTTATTCTAGAATATGTTGAGGCCAACAATATTTCAGTTGCTATAAAAATTGGTTCAAGTAATTGAATCATATTATTAACTACTACCTAGTTATCATCCTGTAAATACAAAAAAGAAAGATCACGGTTTTTAACAATAAAAATATCCAATATATCTCGCATTTGATGAAACTTTTTTAACATTAAATATGTGCTATTCCACCATGTTTTAATATCTAAATCAGGTTTCAATTCAGCTATATTTTCAAGTTTATAAATTGTTTTTAATGAATCACTAAGTTTTGTAGAATTTTGAATTTTTATTACAAAATTTCAAACTTTTTGTATAACAGGTAATACTAATTGTAATCCATTTTGTATAGCAATATTAAGTATATGTGCAGCACATCTTTGATATACTAATTCATTATTGTTTAAAGCTTATTTAAGTTCCCGCCCTGCAGCTATCATATTTTGTGCATTGTCTGTTATAATACCTAACAACTTTTCAGTAATTTTAGCTTGATCTAATACTTCTATAATAGCTTGTTGAATTTTTATAGCAGTATGTTGCCCAGTAAGAGCAAAAAGATCAAGTAAAAAATATCACAATTGCCATTCACTATTAATAAAATAAACTGTAATACCAAGATATGATTGTATAGTAATTAAGCTCCAAATATCACATGTAATTGATATTTTTCTAGATGTTTCAAGTTCTTGTAAAATAGTTTGCTGCATATTATTATATTTATTTAAAATTTCATTTCATATAGTTTGTCGACAAAGTATTTGATATCAAGCATTAAATGTATTTAACATAGTAATAAAGTAAGAATTATCAACAATAGAAAAAGAAAGCTGACAACAAACTATAAAATTCACAATTTTCTCAGTAAGTTGTAAATATCATTAATCTTTTTTTGTATATAGTTTATCTACAAATTTATTAAGAGTACTTTGTCGATTACCAACCATATTTTGATGTTTGCTATATAAATATTTAGCAAGAGTTTCTGGTATATTAGTTGGTTTATACTTAAGGTGGCATAAATTACAAGTGAGTAACTTAATTTCATTTTTAACATTATATTCTTTTAAAAAATACTCCCAAACCCAAAAAGCTTCTTGTGAATTAAGCAAGATTGAGCTAGATTCATTTTCTTCACTAACAGTTGTTAATTCATTAGTTTGTTCAGTTGATAAACTTTCTGTTAAATCTGCTATATTGTCAGTTTCAAAACTACTTTCGGCTTGCAAATTCTCATATTGATTATCTAATTTTAACATATTTGTTTTTTGTTTTTTAGACATTTTTGTAACTAATAAATTTTAACTCTTAAAAATATGAACTAATTCTTTTGTTTAATAGTTTTTAATAAATCCAAATTTAAAAACCCTATATATATTAATGAAAATTATTATTTTGTACAAGGTATACACAGTGCACCTTATAGCAAACTATAGTAAAATCAATATAATTAAGTATTAAATTAAAGTTAGAGTTAGGTTTAAAGTTAGGATTAGGGTTGAGTTAAGATAAAAACTTTATGAAAAACATTTTTTATTAATTACACAATAGGGGTTACCCTAGTAAAATTTTGAGATATTAAGAGGCGTGCACTGAGTACAGAGTGCACCAAAAAATAATGCCCTATATTAATATATTATATTTAGTATTGCTTGCTGCAAATATGATGTACGACTTTTTTATAGCCGACTAGAGTTGTATCTTTGCAGCAGGCAAC